GAGAGAGAGAGAGGAGAGAGTGAATATGAAAAGATGGAATCTCAGAGGGGGAAAGAGAGAGAGAGTATGAAAATATGAAACTCAAAAGGGTAAACAGAGTGTCAACTGCAGGAGGGGATGAATGGGACACGGAAAAAGTAGTAAAAAAATTTTTACAGCGGAATGGTCGCTGTCTAAAAAACGGTTGGTGTTTTACAGGTACCGGAAAATGTAAAATTTGATTTTGAATGTGCTGTGTCTATCACTGTAGCACAGCTTTGTATTTAAAATTTTAAACAAAAAGTAGAAAGGTTCCGCGGGTCCGTCGGCGTAACACACGTGCTTTGAATTTAACTAAAGTAGTGCTTTGAATTTAGGGTGAGAGTTGTATAAGGTGCTTACCTTATACTATTGAAGTAAGGGGCACCTCAAAACAACGTTGAAAATGCCGTTTTAGTGTTGTTGCCCCTGTTTATGAAAATTTAAAGTTTTAAAAATTGTGCGGTCAAACAAATTTATAAACACTTGAAAATCTGAAAATAGCCTAGATAGTGAGTTAGAAGGTAAATTATTTTTAGGATTAGAAATCCCTTTTTTTCATGACTAAAAATCCGGAGGTCGAGATGATCGATTTGATGATTTTCCAACATAAGAACAACCTTCTCTAGTAGATTTTTTTGGTGCACCTTATTCTTACAATATAAAATTGACGTCTTATATAAACTTTTTCTTATTTCCTATCCTTCTTAAAGGAAACTAGTTTGATAGGGCCATAGCTCTAAGCAAACCTCATCTCATAACTCATCCAACATTATAATTCGTGCTTTGGAAAACCCTTACACCGATCATTTCTACTTGAAATTATAGTTGTGAAAATAAAATAGGATTTCAAATTCTAAACATAGTGTATTGTAATAAACTATATGCATTGTCTATTTCGCCCAAAAAATAAATGTGCACAGATCCACAAGATCTATACCATTTTTTTAGTTTCAAATTTTATTGTTGGTGTTTGAAATTGATTTGAGAAATTTACATACGTAAGGGGTCAATTTCAAAATGGGAATACATTTGTCCCAATTTATGGGGGTACCCCCCTCCTAGCCTTTTTTTTTTCCAAGTTACCCATGTTCGATAAATCGAAAACCGGACAAATGGAGTTTTTGCGTTTAAACAAAAAACATTTTTCTGGTGTTCAAATTACCCGACAGCTCTTTAAGTTTTTTTTTTTTGGGGAAATATCCCCTTATCCCCTATTTTTAAGTTCTATATCTCATGAGACTCAAGAATTAAAAATATTACTTGTAAACAAAAAGTGTCCATCTTTTATCTTGACCCAAAAAAAACACTAAAATAATACCCTATCCAAACTTTTCTTCTCTCTCTCAAAACTCAATCTCTCTCTCAAACCCAAAGTTGCTGATAAATTCCTCTCTTTACATCGTCTTTTTCTCCTCTCTCTCTAAAAATTATCTACTATATTTTCCCTAAAAACCAAACCTTGTGCACCAAACCGAGCTCATTTCACCCATAAGTGGGCTCCAAGAGGAAGCTTTTTCAGAAACGAAGAACGCCCTTTTTGTTTCCCGGATTCTTTTCCCTATAGAAAAAGCGAGAGATCGCCATTTTCACCCTATTTTCTTGTCTTTCGAGATTACTTTTGGATTCAGTTCGGTTTAATGGAATCCGCTTATGAATGTCGGGGCTGGTGATTGCTTTTGTAATTTTACATGGTATGGCCGTTTAAAGGGAGGTATTATGATTGATTTGCCGAAAATGTTTATGTTGTAAATTTCGGCCCTTTTGGTGGAGGTATTTCATGGCCGGAAATTTATCTAATTAAAAGTTCGGTCATTTTCCGAAGAATGAGAGCGCATTGATTTATACGGGACTGAATAAACCTTGGCCGGAGAGGAGGGAAGCGTATTTTTCCTGTGACTTTGGCGGTCCTTAGGGGTGGTATGCTAAGGTAGTGATAGGAAAAGTGAGAATAATACGATAAAGAATAAAAAAAGCAAGACAAAGCATTTGTATTTGTCGGAAAACAGAGGAGAGAGAGAGAGAATTTAGATTGTATTTGTCGGAAAACAGAGGAGAGAGAGAGAGAATTTAGAGAGAGAAAGAGAGGGACTCAATACTCGATGGAGAAGAATGGGGAAGCAAGGAGAAACAGACACACTTTACCTGCCCCAAGACGATCTAAGGCTTCTCCAGCGGTGAAGCTCGTTTCTGGTAAAACACAGAAAATGGTTATTAAAAACCATGAATTCTCAATTTTTAGAGGGGAGAAAGAGACAATGTAGACAGCGGAATTTTTTTGCAACTTGGATTTTAGAGAGAGATGGAGTTTTGAGAGAGAAAAAAAGTTTGGATAAAGTGTCATTTTAGTGTTTTTTTTGTCATACTTTTATGGTCAAATAGGTCTAGGGGGTTGTAAAATAGCAAAGATGAGACGTTTTCCTTTTAAGTAATATTTTCAATTCTTGAATCTCATTATCGATAGAAGTTAAAAATAAGGGACAGAGAGATATTTTCCCTTCTTCTTCTTTTTTGTTGCCTGAATTTCTTATGGCACTTCCCTTATGCCTACAACCCTCTCCCTCCTCCCTCTCTCTCTCTCTCTTCAGTATTTTCTCTCTCTAAGAATCAGCACCCATCCTTCATCACATTTCTCTGAATCGCTATTCTGCTTCACTCTCTATATATAAGATCTAAAAATCGTATATCGAGATAGGAAAGGTTGGGCAACCTTCCAGTTGGCGACTCCGAATACATCGATGTCATCTCTTCCATTGACAATACCGCACGGTATATAATCGACCTCAATCTGGTCGCAAATTTTGACATTGCCCGACCCACAAGCCACTTTATCAGAATCTGATAACTTATTCCCGCTGTCTTCATCGGAAAACCACAAACCCTAAAACCATCATCAAGCTCCTTTGTGAAGAAACTTCTAGATAGAGAAGGAAAAGCTTTGTTGGCTTCCTTCACCTTCCTCCATGGAGGAGATGCAGGTATATTCAGGCCAAGCCCTCATCGCTGTACGATTAACCACAAGCTGAGGTCCGAGGAATTTGGCGAGTCGTGTAGGATTTTTGGTGAGATTTTTAAAGATGGCGAGGCTTTGGCCAGAATCCGACCGGTTTTTGGGGGGTTGTCAAAATGCCTCTGTTTCGAGGGAGAAGACTGGCGGTTTTGCGGTGGCCATAGCGATAGTCTTTTTTTTCTTGTAGTATATGAAAACAAAGTTTTTTTTGGTCATTTGGACAATAATATTATTGCTTTCTGGTTTTACATTAGAGAGCAAGGAGAGAGAGAAGCATAGGTTTTGAAAGAGGGTTAATGTGCCTTCAAGCTGAACCCATATCCATGAAACCACCTTGAAACCCTAAACCCAAACTCCTAAATTATCCGCTCGTATCCAACCCCCAATTGACCGCAACAAAAAAATTGCAGCAAAATCTAGACTCCAGAGAGAGAAAGAATGCAAGGGACTTAAGAAGCAAAAAAGAAGAGATTCCCCGTTGCGCAAGCAAGGGGTTCTTGAGTTAGAGAAAGAAAATGTTGAAGAGAGGGAGGGTTGCAAGCAAAAGGGAAGTGCCGGAAGAAATTCCTACAAAAAGAAAAAACTTAAAGAGCTGTCAGGTAATTTGAATTCGAACACTGGGTAACTATTTTTCATTTAAACTCAAAAAACCCACATATCTGGTGTTCAGTTTTATGGGATAGGGGATAATTTGGGAAAAAAAGAAAAACCTCGTCTGTAAATTGGGACAAACGTGTTCCCCATTTGAAATTGACCCCCTCCCAATATTGCTTGGCCTTAAATTTCTCAATTAATTTTAAACCCATCATAGAGATTTCTTTTGCTAAAAAGTGCTGTTTGAATAAAGATTTGAAGTGAGGCTTTACTTTATTTTCATAAAACCAATGCTTTAATGAAACCTCATTCCTTTAAAAGGAAACTAGTAAATTTGTTGTAACCATAATTTAGGGTGGAGATTGTTAAGTTAAGACTCGAGAGATAGATATATTATATTATACCAAATGAATGATACACTTATCACCACTCTCCATACTCAATAATGCATGCTGGAGATGAGGATTTTTTTTTTATTTAAATATTTAAAATAAAAAAGGTTTTTTTTCGAATAATTTATTTGTAAAAATATGTAGTGTTATTAACGTCAACTGCTAACCACTCAAGTTCTCCAAATGAAGAGAAATGAGCTTTTGTCTACCATGTAGCATGTCTTGCACTTCTGCCTAATTCAGCATTGCCCAAATGGTAGGTCTGTTTCGCTTTCCATCATTGTCAATTATGTTAATAAATGGTGAGTATCTTGAGGACTACAGATTTCGTGAACTTTACTATCATGGTGCTATTTCTCATGTATAATTCCAAGATACAGGTCAGCTAGTGTGAGCGTGTGTACGAATCATGGGATGTGTGCGTAGATGCAAGGGCTTTTGATGATGCACTTTGTACTTGCTCGACCCATTCACATAAACAATTGCGTTATGGTGCACTTTACACTTGTTCCCCCCATTCATATAAACAACACTTCTAAAAGCTACTATGCATTGAATAAAGAGTAATCATTCTATGAGACCCTCCCTCTTGAGAATCTACCGAAAAAATGTTTCGCGATTGCCGCAACTTGCAGTAAATCACCGGATGTGCCTGGATTTTTGTGACAACCCTTGCCAGTGTGTGCTACGTTTCAACTCGAAAGGAGCCATGCCGGACAATGACTGCAATTTCCCGATAATCATGTCAGGCAATCACCACAAACCCCAAGATTATGAAGGGGACTGTGCTAGCAAATGTGTGTCACAAACTCCGGCCATCATGGCATGTGGAGACCGGTAGCCAATAATGGCTGAATGGAATGAGTGAAAGGAAGGCGAGAGAATTTGGAGAGAAGATAGAGGAACAAGACACAAACTGAAGCAAACCCAAAGAGAAGAAATTCGGATTTTTGTAAGGTCCCAACACCAGATGCCGGAAAATGAAGATTGGGAAAGAGCGGGAAGAAGAACACCGTCACAAACACTTATTAAAGCATAACGAAAATGAGGTTAATTGTGTCGAAGAATAAACTGAGAGTGGGGGGAAGCTTTTGAAATGAACTTTGGTAGGGTCTTTTGCCCCCTCAAGAGGATATTGCAAAC